ATGAGGGGCTGGAATAGATTACAAGGAAATCTCCCCTCACACACGGATATAAAGTCACCTGCAAAGCAAAAGGTACAAGCATCAGTCCTTTACAAATAATTTTTAATTAGATGTGTGGTAGACAAAAGCCTTCAGTACAACTAATGTATCAGAATTGGTAAAGACTCGTCTCTTATTAAGAGTTCAGATAGTAAAGGTGAACAAAAGTCTGTCTTCTGCCATTATGACAAATTTTGATGTTGCTGCTCTGCTCTGCTCTTTATACTGATTTTTTTTTTTGGTAAAGATACATTTTAAGATACAAAATATTTAGATGTCACAGTTTTAATATCTTTTAAGTACCTTGGGCATCTGAGATTTGAACACCAACACGGTGTGGACAAAGTGTTTGAATGGTGTGGTAAAAATGCTCTCGAGATTAACACAAAATAAGTTTCCAGATGTTATTCATGAGGAGGGAATCATGCAGATGGTTCATAAATATAATGATAAATCATTTATCTTGGAAAGATCATTGAAAATGTTTGTTAGGACAAAGCAAAAAATATATTTTCTTCACCATCTCAGATCTTTTGGATCTTCTGTCTCCTATGTTTTACTGTGTTTTTGGTTTAGTCCAGTGACCTAGTTTTCCCTAGTCTGTTTAATTAGTTATGTCATTCACCTGTGCCCTGTTAATTTACTAATTAAGTTCCTTTGTTTGCCTTGTATACTTAAACCCTCAGTTCTCACGTCTCTGTCCATTCTCGTTAATGTTTGTGTGGCTTTCTCCTGAGTGTTGGTGATTAAAGTCTGTTTCCTGGAATTATTCCTCGTCATGCGAGTTTCTAATATACCACGTTACGTGACACAATACAGGCATTTCTTTTTTGCAATATTGTACAACATGCAAAAAATGTTTATCTCCCACCTTATTTCATCAGAAGTTTAAAGATTGTTAGCCAGCCTCTTAAGATGCTTTGTGAATCAACTTACCATCATAATTAATTAAGCCTGTCAAACAATATTATCATGATCCTTATCATGTCCCGCATATAGAGAAATACAGTATATTGTTACCATCAAATCAGAATCCCGCGATTTAATATACTGAAGCACTCCTTTGTTTATCAGTCATAACACTTTATTTTAAGGTGACGTATTTACTACTTACTAGTAATAATCACAGCAAATTATGCACAATTACAACTGACTAACCCTATAAGTAAACCCGTTAACACTTTATTTGACAGTGTCCTTGTTACATATGTGACATGTACTTACCATAGAAACAGTAAATTATGCATAATTACATCCAACTAACCCTCAACCAAATCCTAATCCTACCCTAACCCATATATAGTAAGTACATGTAGTTGCTTAATATTACTCAGTACTTAAAAATATAATTACACTGTAACCAAGTCTTAAAATAAAGTGTAACCGTTAACTCTATATGCAGGCCTACAAATTACTCAGTAATTATTTGAGTAAGTGTAACTGCGTCACCTTAAAACAAAGTGTAACCTCAGTCAGTCCTAAAATTGAATGTGGAACTTAAGAATGTATGTTGAGGGACTTAATTATTATGAGTTCTGAATGTGATATTATATTATGTTAAATGTACGTTTCTGTGGTTGTGTAAAAAAAAACAGAAAATTATGTTATGCAGGAAATAAACAACATATAGATGTGTTCATGAAATCATATATATATGTATTTGTGCTGTTTTCTTTTCTTTTATGTGCTTTCATATGGGTTTTATGTCCATCTATCCATCGCTTCTACAAAAGAGGGGATGGGGATGTTTATTCGCAGCATATCGCACCAAACAGCATGGATGTTTGGCAAGTCCATTAGCCTATTTTACATTGACATATCATACCTCGCATTGACATGGGTTTCCTCCGGGTGCTCCGGTTTCCGGTTGAATTAGAGAAAATACATTTCCAGAGAGTGTGAATGTGTTTCCATCCATCCAGGATGTTTCCCTGCCTAAGATCCAACAAGCTAGGATAGGCTCAGCATTCCCGCAACCCTAGGACAAGAAGTTTGGAAAATGGATGGATGTATTTTTAACATGTTTTATTTATTCTTTCATGGCCCCTGGCAGGACTTTTATGGATCCCCGGAAGACTACTCTGCATGGCATTAAATGATGATGTTTCATTAATCCATTTAAATGAGCATGCAAAATCACAGAATTTGACTTCTCAGGGAATTACTATATAATCTTCATTGGAAATGTCAAGTGTTGCCATTAAGAATGACATTTCTCATAGGGAGAGGGTCTTTGATAAACTGAGATGCAGCACAAATGGAAGATAAGCTGTTACTCTGGATCGATCACGTCTTGGCATCCTGACATCCCGCTGAAATAATGCCGGGGAATTATCATGTTTTCAGGCTGGGATTTGTTTAATAGGCCATCAACACATTAAGAGAATAAGATCAAATTACACGCCACGCCGCTGTATGATACCAAAACGATATGATTATAATAAAATGAGCAAATAATGATGGAAAATAATGGAAATAATGATTTCAACGCAGCCTCACATTATCATTAGTGGCGACAAAGCAGAAACAACTAAACAAAACAGTCACAAATGTGTCTGTATACGTAGATGGAGCTGCCTGGAGAAACTCCTGCATCATTCTAGTTGCATTTCCCTTGTTGTTGACAAAATTTCATGTCGCTACACTGCTGCCAAAATCCTGATTTATGCCAAGATTAATTGTGAGCAATTTGTCCAGAGATGACAGCAAAAACAGCTGCTATAATCACTGTTCAGTATGAGAGAGCCAGACGGGATGGACATGTGTTGGGAAGAGCCGATGTCATCTTGCTTACAGATCCACATTCTGTCACAGAGAATATGCCCAGTCTCAAATGCTAATACGTGATGATTACATCGACACAGTTTGGACAAAAACTAATATAGAAACAAACTAAATATTCCACAACAATGCCAGACTCCCGAAAAACTAAGCCTTAAGCGAAGCATGCATGCCTGTCACCAAGAATAATATGCTGGAGTAAAGGCTAAATCGAACCAAACACTCAAAGCAAATCCAGTGTTCATGAGATACAATACAAACCTGTACACTGTGGGAAGGAGGAGGTATGGCCTCTTCGAGATCAGAGAGGAGCATTCATAAAACATGATCATCTAAAAATAAAATCCTCTTTTACCATGACTCCTCACTAATCTGGGCCACTGCTTTGGTTGTTTGTGTCAATACATGTTATATTTGGACGGCACATCTGGATCTGATGATCCATTGAGTGTCTGTGGTGTCAGACAAACTTAATTGTGCGTTCTGGGATTGGACAACATTAATAAATGAAGATTGCACAGAGGATGTTTTCGTTCAAGGTTATTTCATGGTTGAATTGTTTTTTTTTTTAAATCCAAGCTGTATTTTTCAACAAAATGCGCAAAAAAATTATTAATTTAAAAAGTTGACTATTTTATAGCACTTATATTTTAATAATAATTACGTGTCGGGCAATGATTAATCGCATCCAAAATAAAAGTTTGTGTTTATATCATATATGTGTACTGTGTATAATTATATATAAATACACACATATGCATGCATGCATATATTTAAGAAATATTTGCATACTGTATATATATTTTAATACACAATTTATATTATATATATATATATATATATTTTTTTTTTATATATAAATAACACATTTTTCTTAAATACATGCATGTGTGTATTTATATATACAAAATAATTATAAAGTACACACACATATATATATTTTTTAGATGCGATTAATCACGATTAATCATTGCCCAACACTAAAACACACATACACACACACACACACACACACACACACACACACACACACACATTATATATAGACTATATATACTATTTTGCTATTTATAAAAAAAATCTATTTTTAATGTTTTGAAAGAAGTTTATGCTCATCAAGCCTACATTTATTTGATCAAAAATACAGAAAAAAACTATAATATTGTGAAATACTATTACAGTTTAAAATAACGGTGTGTGTGTATGTGTGTGTTTTAGTGTTTTAATATACTTTAAAATATAATCTATTTCTGTGGTGCAAAGCTGAATTTTAATCGGCCATTACTCTTCAGTGTCACGTGATCCGTCAGAAATCATTTTAATATGCTGATTTGATACTCAGTTATTATCCATTTTGGAAACAGTTGCTGCTAATTTTTTTTTTTTTTAGAACCGGTGATACTTTTTTTCACGAATAATTAATAAATAGAAAGTTAAAAAGAACAGCAATTATTCAAAATAGAAATCTTGTCTAACCATATAAATCTTTATATCACTTTTGATCAATTTAACACATCCTTGAAAGTATTAATAAAAAATAAAAAAATAAAGAAAAAATGACTGACCCGGGACCCCACACTTTTGAACGGTATAGTGTTTGGCCTATTGTTATATTGTATAGTCTCTAGGCAACACTGCAGGCTTGATGAGCATAAGAGACTTAAAAAAAACACACATAAAAAATAGTAATGTTTCCAAACTTTTGCCTGATACTGTCTATATATGTTTTGCAATACCCACACTAAAATAGTATTACACCACTGGATTAACACAGAGAAGTGTGTGCAGCAGAAGCCACATCTCAAGATCAGGTTCTGCGTGGCTTGCCTACATAATGCCTCCTCAGTTGAGCTTCCACGTAAACAACTACTACAACTTCTTGGCAGTGGGTACTTAAGTCAAAGCCGGTGTCATAACCGTGCATGTTTCATTTGGATTGGAAACACAATCTAGGCATGCATAGCAATGTTCAATCACAATATTTACTTGTAAGAGCCTATATCCTCATATGGTCCCTTGTTTACACCACTAGCCTGCTTGAGTCAGTAGTGAGTCTCCTTTAAGAAAGTGTGTAGTCTCACCTTCCCAACCCTGAGCTGAAAGGTATCAGTCCCATGATTGGGCGGTCAAGGGTAGGGTCTAGAATCACGTGACATTGTTCCAACCCTGGGACGCCATTTTGGAGGAAAGTTTGGAATTTCTGACACATAGGAAGAAAAAAAAAAGGAGGAGGAGATAACGAAAGAAGTTTGACGTTTAGGAAAACAATCCTCATTCCTCCGAAGGCGAAGAAGAATGAGGAAAAACTGCGGACGTGAGGATTTGAACCGCTTGTGTTGACACTGAGCCCTTGCAAGCTCACGGCAGGGAGGGAGGTGTATATTTGCAGTTTGGGGAGTTTTTTTTTTTTTTTGGAAGCCCTCCTGCAACTGGCGGCGACATATGTTCAGTTTTTCCCCCGCAGCCGCGGAGCAGATTGGCGGCGGAGCCTGAATCGCAGCGTCTGTGTGTGTTTTGAATGGAAACGCAGGGCTGTCAGTGGAGTAAAGCTCGACTGTCGGGTTAAAGAAGTGCAGCTCGCGCTCGACTCTACAACCAAACGGCTCGTTTTCATATCAGCCCGAACCGTCCTCATGTTTTTTACCGGATAAACATTAGAGTTTCATGCCAACTGCGTCTGACTTAACGTTACCCCCCTCTGACACTCTGGACGCACTCGTGTTGGGTGAGGAGCGTTGGTTTTATCATTGCGTGTTTTGTTCATTTCTGTCGCGAGCTCTGCTGGATTTGTTATCGTGCACGAGCCCAACCGAAACATGCCAGTCAGAAAAAAAGGTGAGATACACTTCGGATATACTTTTACACAATCTGGCACTGGAGCTGGTAAGTCACTTCTTTCAGACTGTAAAATATTAATATAATTTCTTATGCCGCACTGTATCTCTAAGGTAACTGAATATAACCTAAACTGTAAAATTATTTGGAAATAAGAACTGTCATAGATTTTTGTTTTGTCCAGTCATCAACACATAGATTTTAAAACTTCCAAAGTCATTTACATTATAATCTCTCGTGTAATTATGTAATTAATGAAAACTTTCTGTCTGCTCTGTATAGATGCACAGAGGGCTCTGTTACTGCTGGAGGAATACCGGTCAAAACTCAGTAACACTGAAGACAGACAACTGAGAAACTCCATCCAGAGAGTCATCGACATCTTCCAGAGTAACCTCTTCCAGGCGCTTATAGGTACTACAATGTGTCATTCAGCACTTCCCTAGTCATAATGAAACTACTGTGTCATGCTGTGAGGGCTTATCTATCTATCTATCTATCTATCTATCTATCTATCTATCTATCTATCTATCTATCTATCTATCTATCTATCTATCTATCTATCTATCTATCTATCTATCTGTCTGTCTGTCTGTCTGTCTGTCTGTCTGTCTAATTGTAATGTTACTTACTAATCTATCTATCTATCTATCTATCTATCTATCTATCTATCTATCTATCTATCTATCTATCTATCTATCTATCTGTCTGTCTGTCTGTCTGTCTGTCTGTCTGTCTGTCTGTCTAATTGTAATGTTACTTACTATTTTATTTCACAAAGGGGACACAAGACAAGTGACTAAAGTTTGTCTGGAGCCCTGTAGGATATTTTCAGTATCTGTTTTTCATTTATGAAGGGTTCATATTCAGTGTGTGGAGGTTGCTTGCAACATTTTCCCTCCAAAAGTTTGTGAGAGCTTGTCATTGCACAGATGTGTTGAGTAGTAAAAGCCAATCTGCCGTGTGTTACTCGAGCTAGCTATACTGTCATTTAATGACTATTGCCCCGTTTCAGAGGGGTGAGAACTTCTGACATGTAGGCGACTATGATACAAGGCTACCTAACACTGTGCTGTGAATGGTAAATACTTCGAAGCAGTGTAAACTATTGTTTAAAGTATTAACTGAGGATGTTCTTGAATAGAAAGATCTGATATGCATTCATTTATCTTGCAGTTTGTTTTGAGGAGCCACAAGACGGTGTCTCTTAGTTTTCTTATTTGTTTTTGATAGGGACAGTGCACATTAATCAACAGTCAGACACTGTACATAAGCCAGAGGTAACCCAAGAGGCTAATTTTCATCTGTTGCCCCTTGCCAACTATAATAAAACATGTGTCAATCAATATAATTAAACCAAGTGGTTCCCAAACTTTTTAGACTGGCACACCCCCGGAGGCATTTAAGATCCTTCTGCGTTTACGTTCTCTCTTCCACTTAGACTCCTGAAGGGAAGGGACAATATTTTGCTTTTAATTGTAATTTTATTTTTTTACCTTTATTAAAACTAAGATTTTCTAAACCTACTAAATGTATGTCATGTTTTATACCAAATTCTTAAAATTCCATTCATTTAATTATTCATATAATAAATAAAGCAATGAATTAAACTAAACCAATAATTCTAATGAAATCAGTTTCAACAAAGGCTATCTTTGCACTGCAGTTGCATCTAGATGTATTTAGTTTAAACTTTAATCCTGCTCAGTGGCATGAATTCAATTACAATGATATAAATAATGATATGAGAATGTTTTAAGTAAAAAAAAAAGTTCAATAGAGAAATATGAAATTATGGCAAACGAAGTGATACTTTGAAATATCAAACTAAAACTGACAGTAGGTGGCAAGTCACTGTCTTAATGATTCATTCATTCATTCATACATTCAGTAACGAAGCAAGCGTTTTTATGAATGGGTCATTGAATCATCGACTCTCCCATTGTTGAACTGTTGGATAAAATAAATATCACATTTGCAATCATGTGGATGTTCTGGAAAAATTGCATTCTTACTTGTAAAATATGTTATCAACTTTAAAAACTAGAACTCACACAGGGTGTGTTTTTGTGTCGAAGAGAGTTTGAGTCTTAAATCGATCTCTATGCACAGTCTGTGTCTATATTTGTTTGTCATGCTAGTAAGTGCTAAAAGCCCACTTTTACAAAGGTACATTGTCGAGAACCGCACTAATGTAATGCGATTTGCTAAGGCAGCAGACTCTGCACGCAACCTATCAACCAACCCATATGCATGCTGTCTGTGTGGATGCAGGCAGTTTTGACCGCAAAGATGATTTAATTTGATTGGATGTAATGTGTTTTACCTTTTACGGCACTACCGTTTTCCTGTTTTGACATTTTACTTAGTTTTTTGTTTGCGTAATCCCTCCGCCACCTCACATACCCTAGTTTAACCACTGTCTTAAGCAAGCCGTTGCAAACTAGGCAAAGAAAGCAACCACGAGGAATGCTGAACAGCCAGTTTGAGTTGCTCTGGGGTTTGACTGGCCGTGTGCCAGTGTCTTCCTGTGTTTGACCCTTAAGGTGTGGAGGCTTCCTGTAATAACTTAATCCCCTGTTTCCAATTCTTTTGAAAAAAGCATGAATGTTTTATTGCTCGAGTTGTTAAATGGAAAGAGTGCTGCTTTAGGCGTGCTTGGTTACTTGTTTAGGTTTGTCTGCTGAAATGCTCATGTGTTTTAGGATAAAGACTGGTCAGCTTCCTCTTTGTGAATGTATTTCACTCATGTATGAAAAGCCAACTTAGTTAGAGACAGGGGGAACATTGCAAACATTTTAATTGCATACCACAAGGCACGCGAGATGTAAAAACCTGCTTCTGTTGTCCAGGCCGGAGCACTATGTGTGCCTGTATCTCAGAAAACCGTCTTACTCTAAGCTGCCATGATGAATCGTTGTGCTCAACATTGCTGGATAAGTTCATACATCATACATGTGTAATCATCCTCATGCGTAGCCTCGTTCACATTCACACGGGCAGAAATCCCTCTACTTGTATATGTCCTGCATGCGCACGTGTTCTTCTTAAGAGTGCCGCTAATGAAAAATGCATTGGAGTGACGGATTCCAATTTGACTTTTCCTCAGATATGTATTCTAAAGGACAAACAAAATGTAATCCGTCTGTTGACATGATTACCCTAGTCCTAATCCGTAGGCTGATGATTTACGACGGTTTCTCTGAGAGAGCAGCGCATGCAGACTCGGTGCATGTCTCTCAATGATTAGAGCCTTAAGATCCCTCTCAGGATGCCAGAGAAGAAGAGTTAACCAGAGCAGGGCAGGTCTCCTTCTGCATGCAAAATGTGGGTCACAAGACAGACCAGGTTTACCCTTGACAGAACACACCCGCCTCACGAGTTCCTAGTTAATTGTTTTGAAAATGAGACTCGGAGTAGGGGTAAGATTAAATCACATTACCTAAAGTAGATAATGGACAGGTTTTCTATTCACACACAGAAGAACCTTTTTTTAAAAAGCTCTTAGTGCTTCATAAAGAGCTGGAGTGCTGAATCTGATATCACACAGGCAGGCTGGTATCTTTTCCTAATCTTTATTCAGACGTCCTGCCTGAAACAGAATATGTAATGGATAAAAATCACTTCCTCAAGTAGATAGGAAGCATCTCCTAAATCACATTGTAATCACTTGGGCAAGCGTCAAGCTAGCCAAAAAAAGCAATAGTATACACTACCAGTCAAAAAAGTTTAGGATCGGTAAGATTTTTAATGTTTTTTAAAAGAAGTCTCTTCTGCTCGCGAAGGCTGCATTTATTTGATTACAAATATTAACCCCCCCCCCAGTAATATTGTGAAATATTATTACAATTTAAAACGTCTGTTTTCTATGTGAATATATAGTAAAGTGTAATTTATTCCTGTGATCAAAGCTGAGTTTTCATCATCATTACTCCAGTCTTCAGTGTCACATGATCCTTCAGAAATCATTCTAATATGACGATTTGATGCTCAAGAAACATTTCTCATTATCAATGTTGAGTATCAATGTATTATCAACAGTCATTTAAATTTTTAATCCAGGATTCTTTGATGAATAGAAAGTTCAAAAGAACAACATTTATCTGAAATACAAAACTTTTGTAACATTAAACACTACCGTTCAAAAGTTTGGGGTCAGTACGAATTTTTATTTTATTTTTGGGGGAAAGAAATAAAATGAAATCAATACTTTTATTCATCAAGGATGAATTAAATTGATCAAAAGTTACAGTAAAGACATTTATAATGTTACAAAAGATTCCCTGTTCTTTTGAACTTTCTATTCTTCAAAGAATCCTGAACAAAATGGTCCACAACTGTTTTCAACATTTATAATAATGATGAATGTTTTTTCAGCATCAAATCATCATATTAGAAGGATTTCTGAAGGATCATGTGACACTGAAGACTGGAGTTAAATTTTTTTATTTTATTTTTAATAACCGCCTGTTTTTTTTAATCAAATAAATGCAGCCTTGGTGAGCAGAAGAGACTCCTTTTAAAAATATTAAAAATCTTACCGGTCCAAACCTTTTGACTGGTAGTGTATTTTAAAATGGTTTCCTTATGTGGCTGATTGTGGTCTTGTAAATTATTGTAATCTCCAAAGAGCGTCACAATTATTTTATTAATTGCCTACAGAAAGCATTAACATAGCATAGTCCGTAAATGAGCCATCAGAAAATGAAGACATGTGTCAGAGGTAAAGAGACCCGGCAGGCTCTGTGAACTGAGGAAACTCTATCCTGTGGCTGCAGAGGTCTGTTAATCGGACGTCAATACAGCACTCTGTTTAAGGGCTGCCTTACCACAGATCTCATTCCGGAGGGAGAAAAGTGAACATGAGACTCCGAGAAACCCGGGAATCGGCTGAGAGTTACACCTCTGTTTTGATTGGCTCAGAGTTTTGAATGTCTCATCTCCAATCAAATATAACAATCATCCACACTAATGGAATATAACAAACTTAAGGCCAGTTACAGATCTTTTGCTTTTTGCATCCTATTATGAATCCACTGTCATTTACATTTTACATTAGCTGTTTTTTATTCAGTCTTTCTTCTGATATCACGTAAAACAAGACCATTGTACTATAACAACTCGGTCATGGTACATGGTAGTACTACTAAAATAGGCAGCGATTAAAAGTGTTAGAGCTCCATTTTTATCATGCACATTACGTTCTCTCAGAGCATGGATGGGGTCACTGAACTGACATGAATAAACAGAAGGCCTTGTAATGACATTGGTATTATACCAAGGGCAGTTTTAACCTCTTACTGATTCTCAAACAATGATTAAAACGTTCCTCACTCAGAAACTCGTGCTCATTAGTAATTTGCTTCTTCAATCATAACTTCATCAGATGCCAGACTGATTTGCCACAGAGACAA